ATGCATTCACTGACTCAGCCTTCAAAGGGAACCCAGCAGTAGTGTGCTTTCTTGATGAGGAGAACAATAGAGACGACTCTTGGCTTCAGTCTCTCGCCGCTGAGTTCAACCTTCCCATGACTTGTTTTCTTATTCAGATCACCGGATCCAATCCTCTTGATCCCCCACGCTTCATACTCCGGTGGTTCACACGCTTTGTCGAGGTCTTGCATTGTTCTTTAGTAACTTCAAATTTTGCATTCATTTAGATTACCAGTCACCATTTTTGTTGTTCTTTTTGACAGATGGACATTTGTGGTCATGCAACATTAGCATCTGCTCACGTTCTTTTCTCAAACGGTTTAGTTGGTTCCTCTGACATAGTCGAGTTTGCTACTCAATCTGGCATTCTGATTGCTAAAAGGGTTCCAGAAAAAGGTTCTTTTTTGGTGGAACTGAGTTTACCTGAGATTCTTACATGTGAATACAACTCAAACGATGTCTCCATGTTCTCCAAAGCCTTAAGTGGAGCTACCATTGTTGACATCAAGGGAACTACAACAGATAGCGCCGTCTTAAAAGCCTTGAATGGAGTTGCCAAGGCAACTTCAACCGACAAAATCATCGTATGCACGTACTTCAAGAACCTTTAAAAACTATTTACCTGTACTGTTTAAATTGTCTTAAATAAACATTATAATTAAGCATAATAAAATATTGCAATGAATGACAGGTTGTGCTTCCATCTTGGGATTCTGGCACAGGACTGCAGCCAATAAGGGATGACATCTTAAAATGTCCTGGTAAAATGTTAGTTGTTACTGCTGCTGCTCCTCCAGGATCTGCGTATGATTTCATTAGTCGTGTCTTCGGCCCCGAGATAGGAGTCGATGAGGTTAAAACACCAAATGTCTGTATTTATGTTTGTTAATGGATAGATCATATGAGTCTCACATGTGTTGGTTTGGTTAATTCAGAGCCCTGTCTGTGGAAGTGCACATTGTGCATTAGCACATTATTGGAGCCTAAAGATGAACAAGTGTCACTTCGTCGCTTACGCGGTCAGTCCCCTCTCTCTAACTTGGAAGCATTTTAATTTTTTACTTGCCATACTGATTGTGATTTGAAATCTTGGAAACTTGTTTATAGGCTTCGCCTGGAACACTCAAGATTCACTATGATAAGGAGAAGCAGAGAGTCTTGCTTACTGGCGAAGCCGTGACTGTGATGAAAGGCTCTGTCTTAGTTTGATCATAGTCTTGATAATATAATGCATATCTATTTTCTATCCATCTTATTTAAGATGAAGTACCATTTAAAAATAAATCTTCGTTCACATTAATAATTAAGAATGTTAATACAATCATTTATCATTAATTACAAAGAAAAATAAATGATTATTTAGCATGGAAACCACTTCTACATTTTTTTTTGTTTTTTCTTAGTTTCAACCACCCAAATTTGGTTAATTTTCACGATGAAATGGTTTAATTTAATAGATTAAAATATAGGACATTTCTTAATTTTTCTAATATATTCCTCGAATAACTTGTGTAACACTAAAATTAATCATTTATTACAAGATACTAGAGCTTTTTCCGCGATACGCGCGGATTATATACTACTATAATTTATTTTATTAAAATTTTCTTGTATTGTTTTTATTTTATATTTAAAGTATGCTTTCATTTCATTTCGTACGTATACATTATAAAATTCACAAATGTTTCCAAATTTATAGAATGGATTGTTTCAATTAGAACTTCAACAAAATTTTAGTATTTAATAATATTATGTGACATGATATAGTTTTTACTCTAATTTTTGATTAGGTTTATATTCACTTAAAATTGAAATGTAAATGTAAGTAGCCCACACAAAAAAACTGAATATGAGTTTTATTTTTCGCATAATAGAGAAAAGAATGATAGTATGTGACCTCTTCGATTTCAGTTTAATTATCTTCATAGACTAAATTTTTCATTTCAAAATAAGTATCGATTTAAAATTCTAATAAAAAAATTATTAACAATATTCTTCCATTTTTGTATTGGTTGGAATATGGTTAAGTGTATATGTAATGATATCTTTATTTTAAAAATAAGCAAAATTAAATATTTTTTATAATCTATGTGCATGAATCTAAAGATACAAATTTAAATGAAATGGAGAGTTTATATAATAATTTTTACGTGTTAGATTATCCTTTTTATCATTTCGGTTATTAAACTTAGTAAAATTTTATGTTTTTAATTTAAAATTGAAAGATTTTAAATTTTCTTTGTTTATTCAAAATGATTCAGTTTGTTGCCTTATAAATTTCGTAAAAACCTTATATATTGTAAGAACTATAATTTCTAATTTTTGTTTCTATTAGGTGAAATCGATAAATAATAGGGAAATTCTTTCAAATAGCTATTTTGAAATTTCTGTCATAAAATAGCCGTAAAAAAATAAAATGACCAAAATAGTCCTTTATATTTTGAAATTTGTAATATTTGTTTTAAAAATTTAAAACCCTAAACCCAAAACTTCACCAATTAACTCTAAACCCTAAGTTTAGATTAGTTAACTCAAAATTATAAATGTATATTTACCTTTTAATAAAAACTTATTTTGATCATTTTTTCTTGGAATACTATTTTGTGAAAATAAACTAAAAAATATTATCCAATGAAATTGTTTAAATAATATCTTTGGTTGGTAATGGTGTTTCTTTGAATATGTTTTTGTAATTTTTGTAGAAAACTTGCCAATATCTTTCCAAAAATCACATACAAAGTTTTCATTCCTTCTTTGATACTAAAAAGTTAAGAACTTGTATTTTTGGTAGATAAACTTATATTTGTGTTGGTAATGATTACTTCATAGTGATATCTTAAATTTTTGACTTTCACTTTTTTGTTTGTTGTTGTGTCTTATATTTTATATTTCTTTAATATTTTTAGCAATGCTTATTCAAACTGGTTTTACTAATTTATTTGTACGTTGTTTTAATATATCTATATTTATGGTTTTTTATTATGGGAGGAGACGTCAGAAACTGCTTGACCTAATGGATATGCATGTTTGCGGTCCAGAAATGAGAGGAGAAGGGAAGAGATGAGTGATTGATTCAACGGACTGGCAAATAATACTTTTCGGGTCCAGAAAAAATTGAAGCCAGCCCAACCAAGCAGGCGCTGACTTGGCATGACGAAATAATTCCATTGGTCGATTATAAATGCTGACGTGGATAACTCCATAGACCTTTACTAAGAACTTTTAATAGTAATAGATTTCATTTTGCATACATAAGTTGAGCAGCTTATAAATAGTTATAAGCATAACACATCTATATAAACATACATATACATAAATAATATTCATTCTATTTCAGTTACCTACCATCAGTTCCATTCCTAACACACTTGACACTACTATTATACAAGACTAAATAGATTGCTTACTTTATAGTTTTACAATAAGCCTCTCATAATTACCAAACTCCCATTTGTTCAGGTTTGATTAAATTGTTCACTCCAGACCGTTATTTGTTACAGCTGTCTCCTATAGTTCAACGTGCCATAATTTAATACCTAACTTATCTCTAATGTTTACACGTGATTATATTTATGATCACCTGACGTAGTCAAGGGGGGGGGGCAATCAAATCAGATCTCCTCTGCATATTTTCCCTTAGTTTTTGAATATAAGAGAGCACCTTCATTTGATCAAAAAAAAGAAAAAAATGCATCTTTAATAAAGACTTATAACTTATAACCATGGTAATCTTAAAATACATACGTACATATAATAATTATTATTTAATATAGCTATTTCAAAACTATCTAAATTTAATTAAAAATATATCATTTGTATTTTAGTAGATGTTCACATCGTACAAAAAAAATGTTCTTGGATAATAAAATAACTAATGTGACAATTTTTCACTCATGAACTAACTTTTGATTTTGAATTTCAGAAATAAAAAGAGAGAAAAGAGAGAGAGAGAGAGAGAGAGAGAGAGAGAGAGAGAGAGAGAGAGAGAGAGAGAGAGAGAGAGAGAGAGAGAGAGAGAGAGAGAGAGAGNCGTCTTCTTCTTTATATTTTTTTTCTCTTTCTGCTAAGATGGCTATGTTTATTAAGATTCTCAAGATTTATGATGGTTGATAAAAAGGTAGATGCATTCACTGACTCAGCCTTCAAAGGGAACCCAGCAGTAGTGTGCTTTCTTGATGAGGAGAACAATAGAGACGACTCTTGGCTTCAGTCTCTCGCCGCTGAGTTCATCCTTCCCATGACTTGTTTTCTTATTCAGATCACCGGATCCAATCCTCTTGATCCCCCACGCTTCATACTCCGGTGGTTCACACGCTTTGTCGAGGTCTTGCATCGTTCTTTAGTAACTTCAAATTTTGCATTCATTTAGATTACCAGTCACCATTTTTGTTGTTCTTTTTGACAGATGGACATTTGTGGTCATGCAACATTAGCATCTGCTCACGTTCTTTTCTCAATTGGTTTAGTTGGTTCCTCTGACATAGTCGAGTTTGCTACCCAATCTGGGATTCTGATTGCTAAAAGCGTTCCAGAAAAAGGTTCTTTTTTGGTGGAACTGAGTTTACCTGAGATTCTTAGATTATATTGAGTGGAACTGTTGTAACTGAATTATAGTAACATACATTTAATGAATTTTCTTTATTGTTTAATTAAAAAACATTAAATAAAAACATAGCTAATAAATATTCTAGTGACAGGAATTTGTAAATATCTCGACGGTTGGACTCCAATAAGATTTTCTCAATTTTTTTATTTGGAAAATAAAGGATTTAATAAAAACCATAGCTTTAAAATATTCTAGTGGCAGAGATCTCTAAATATTGTTGAAACAAAAGGGTATTTTAAAAAAAAAAAAAGCCTTGAGTTTTAATAGTATTGATAAATCATTTCTCATCCTATCAAGTTCTTCATCTGAGTATTTCTTTTGAGGTCTCATATCTCAAGAAATATTTGCAGTTACACTCTCACTTTTACCTTGACTCTGACCTATAATACTCCCTATAGTACTGGTATGCTTCCCCTCTCCTTCCAATTGTGTTCTGGATGCATTATAGGTTGATGTAGTCTTGAATGGATATGAGTAAGAACTCTTCTTACCCCCTGAATCACTTCTTGTTGACTCTCCCACCACACGACAAAAGGCACTTGATTCAATTTTTAACACTGCTGCAATGTGATTCTCCAAACCAATTGGTTTCTTCATACGAATAACCTCTTTATTTCATGTGTCAAACCGTTGTAAACTATCTTTATCAAGTGATGACCATCCAAACTAGGTACTAACTCCGATAGCTCTTCAAATTCTGAGACATAATCGCCAATTGAACATGTTTTCTTAATGGACAATAAGCGTATTGTTTATTAATCTTCGAGAGATTCAGAAAATCTGAGCACCAGCTTCTCTTTAAACCCTTCCCAATTCTGAAAACCTTTCCTCTTCAGTTCCCAACCAAACCAATTCTTTACTTTCCCTTACAAACTCAGTCCCAGCAGCTCAAGCTTCTCCTCATCGACATATCTTCCAATGTTAAACCATCTCTCCACCTTTGTTATCCACACATAAGGCCATTTCCCAGTGAGAACA